CTGTGTGTGGTTTGCTGTGGGTAACATTCTTGGGGTTTGAATCTTGCCTTTGTGTGTGTTTGTATGTGTGTGTGGGGGGGGGAGGGGGTTGCAGTGGGCTCACAGTAACACAGGTCACATGGCAGCCCACAGTCATGCTGGTGCAGTGTCTCTCTCTGGCTCACCATTACCTTTTCCTGTTACTCTTTTTCCAATTCCTCATCCACTGCCTCTTCCCATTCCCATTCTTCTTTTTCCTTTTTCCTCTTCCCCTGCCTATTTTTCCTTTTCTTCCTCTCCCTCTTCTTTTTCTCATTCCTCTTCCCCTTTATCCTTTTCCTCTTCCCCTTTATCCTTTTCCTCTTCCCCTTCCTATTTTTTCTTTTCTTCTTCTCCCTCTTCTTTTTCTCATTCCTCTTCCCCTTTATCCTTTTCCTCTTTCCCTTCCTCTTCTTCCCTCATTCCTTTCCCTCTCCTCACAGAGGAGGCAGACTCTCCCTTGGATTTCGAGCTGCAGGCCAGTGAGGAAAGTCCCCTGCCGAGCAGCACCGCTACACAGCCAGACTCCCAGGACCGGGAGGACAGCAGCATAGAGTCAGGTGACTCTGAGATCGAGCTGGTGTTGGAGGAGCCGCCCCCACCTCGCCAAGGGCCGGCCAGCACTCCGCACCCCAGCCCCGCCCCTGCAGGAGCCCCGAGCCCTGCTCCCCCCCCACCTCCCATCCAGTACAGCATCCTTCGGGAGGAGAGGGAGGCAGAGCTGGACAGCGAGCTGATCCTGGAGCCCTGTGATGAGAGTCCCATTAAGCAGCGTGTGGCCCCCCGTCCCCCCACCGAAAAAGCCCAGCCCAGACGGGCTGCCTCGCCTCCGTCCCCCATCTCTGCACATAAACCAGCCCCACCTGACTCCTGCGCTGCTCCTACCCCCAACGTGGGCCACGTCACTGCTATCCGAAGAGATGTGGTGGAGGCCACGCCTCCCGCCGCCACGGTAACCACGACAGTGCGAGTGGAGCAGCCCCCAGTGGAGGAAAAGGCCGTGAAGCAGAGGCGGACCAGCCAGACCAGGACGGGCTCAGACAGAAGGGCCTCGGTTCCAGCCTTCTTGCAGAGCCTGGATCGGCAGACAGGTGGGAATGCCGAGCGAACAGCTACATCAACCCGCATGCAGCACATATGCACAGTCACACTCACTATGCACGGCTAACATTAGCATATCAGCTGCACCACGGGGGAGTCTGACCCATGGTGTGCAGCTGAGGTTAAGCCCCCCCCCCCTTTTCACCCTGTAAGAATAAAGTATGGATTTAAATCCCTTACAGAAGGTATGAGCAGTGCTATAGGTACTGCTGAGCTGAACATGGGGGGCCTTGGGGGCAGAGTCAGGAAAAGCCATATGGTGCTTCTCAGAACAAGCAGCTGCGATTCACTGTGTCAGTCACAGTCCTCAGACGGCGACGAGGACTGAGAATAACCAGAGCAGAAAGCAAATGCTGCTTTTGCTCGAGTCGAGAAAGAGCTTCCCCATGGAAGCTGCGGACCTTCTCACTGGTCCCTGAAGATTAAGGTCTCTCTCTCTCTCTCTCTCTCTCTCTCTCTTGTTAGCTTGTGGTATTGTGGTAGTTTTGACTGATTCTGCCTTTGTTTGTATATACACTACTCTTCAAAAGTTTGGGGTCACTTAGAACTCTTCTTGCTTTTTGTCCTTTTATATAACATCAGATTCATCATAAATACTGTGTTGACATTGTTAACGCTGTAAATGAGCATCATGGCTGGAAATGGCTGTTTTTAATGGAATATTTACATATGTGTACAGAGGCCCATTATCAGCAGAAATTAGTCCTGTGTTCCAGTGGAATGTTGTGTTTGCTAATGCAAGTTTATCATTAAAAGGTTAATTGATCTTTAGAAAACCATTTTGCAATCATGTTAGCACAGATGAAAATTGTTGTGCTGATTAAAGAAGCAATGAAACTGACCTTCTTTGGACTAGTTGAATGCAGCATCAACAGTTGTGGGTTCGATTGCAAGCTCAAAATGGTCAGAAACAAAGAACTTTCTCTCAAACTCGTCAGTCTGTTCTTGTTCTGAGAAATGAAGGCTACTCCATGTGAGAAGTGGGCAGCACAGTCACCAGATCTCAGCTCCATCGAGCCGTTATGGAAGCAGCTTGACTGAATGGTACGTAAGAAGTGCCCATCAAGCCAGTCCAACTTGTGGGAGATGCTTCCAGAAGCACGGGGTGAAATCTAATCAGATTACCTCAGCAAACTGACATCTGGAATGGGCAAGATCTACAAGGCTGTCAGTGCTGCACATGGACGAATCTCTGACAAAACAAAGTTTGAAGAACACAATTGATTATTTCTAACTTTTTCAATGACTATTTCCTATTTATTTAGCTATATTTCCTATTCAAACTCATTTCATGTATGTTTTCATGGAAAACAAAGAAATTTGTAAGTGACCCCAAACTTTTGAACGGTGGTGTATATATTTTTCTTATGTAACAGTACTTTTAGCATTTGTGATGCACGTCACGCACCCATCTTATGGGTGCTTTTCCTTGCTGATTGTCATGTGTCTTAGGTTTGCATGAACCTTTATGCATGGACTCGCATGCTATGAGCCTCTGCTCCCTCCTCGTCCTGCAGGTTATCAGAGCTGCCTCGGTACCTGTGAGGTCGCGGAACCTGTGAGGTCGCGGTACCTGTGAGGTCGCGGAACCTGTGAGGTTGCAGTACCTGTGAGGTCGCGGAACCTGTGAGGTCGCGGAACCTGTGAGTTCGCAGTACCTGTGAGGTCGCGGAACCTGTGAGGTCGCAGTACCTGTGAGGTCGCAGAACCTGTGAGGATGCTCCTCCTCTGCACTCCTGCAGCGTGCCGTGGGCGCTTTGTCCTGTGCTACGTTTGCTTATATCTCTTGACCTCTTTTCGGAACGTTCTAGCTTGATGCTCTCCTCAGTGGGCAGATCGGCCCATCGTACGACACCCCCATGAAATACGGAGGTGGATGTTTCGCTTTTGGGTGTTTATGTGTCTTCTGATCTTTTTGACTAAATATTAGTTCATGAGAGGCAAGCAGAGGGAACTCGCTGAGAGTCAGGGCCACTGGTGCCACCTGGATTGGTTATCTGTGGACCATATGAATGCTGTAATACTAAGGTTCCAGTAAGGTGTCAGTCTATCGGTGAAGTGTTTGTGTCACTAATCAGCATAGACATTCTGGTGGCCTGGCATCTGCTCCTGAGAGCCTCCTGCCTCATGCCCTCTCCTTCCTGGAATAGGCTCACTCTACTGGGTAAGCTGTATGGGAAATGGATGCTATTTTTAGCAACTAAGTGCTTCCGTATATATGAGCAAGTCATACATTTATGCCATTTTACAGCGTTTATACTGACTCAGATCGTATTGGGTGGGTGGACGATAATGGTTAATATTATGCTTTATATTCCACAAAGTGTTTGTGCTGCATCTTCATGATTAATCACAGGTATAATGACCATTTTGAGAACAATTAGAAGAGATAATAAGTCAAATATGCAGTGCTGTAGGAGTAAGTGCAGGTTACTGTGATTGCAGTGTCATTTACAAAAAGAAATCCTATTAGCTTAAGGCAAAGTCCAGTTCTAATGTATTTTACTGTGGAATTTACGAGGATTCAGACTGCATTCATTTTGAAAAATTCAGTCCAAGTGAGATATATGAAGGGACTGAAACACACAGGCTTAGTGGATCGCAATGTAGCAAGATAATATTACTTCTGTAGGGCTCAGAGTTATTTGGTTAGTGTTTGCTGCCCTCTAGTGGTAAGATGTTGAAAGCACAGCTTGTCCACACCTGTCCTTGTTACCTTGGAAAACACACATCAGCAGTAGAGTTGTCACAAAGAAGAGTGATAATTCCTTTTTCTGGATGCCTGGTGAGAGTGCGTAATGAGTCATTCAGGTCTGAAATGGCAGATTGTAAAAACACATTTTCACAACTCAGGGCCCTGCAAGCACTGTTTACAAAAAGCTATTATTTTCATTCAGATCCCGGGCAGACAAGAGCCGTTTTTAGGAGAACATTTTTACTTTTTCATACTTTTTGTTGCTATTTATTTAGAAGACATAGCCAGCGATGCCACGGGGCTGGTGGGTGAAATCCCCTTTACCCACTTTGAAATTCTTGTGACGCATTTGAAGATCAGGGGCACCAAAAAGGCAGGCAGGTGATCCAGCTTTGAGACGCAGGAGAGTCATGCAGTGGGATACAGTGCATTGCAGGTCAGCCTGTGTCCCGGATTGCTGCTAAGCATGTGCTACGCTGGTAGGCGTCTGAACCTGCTCTTCGTTTATGCTGTGCTGTTGCTGTGCTGTTGCTGTGCTGCCACCATCCTCAGCTACTGATACTGATGCTGTGACTTGGTGCAGCAGCCGCTGTATGTGAGTTTCCTCCTGTCTTGCTGACCTGCTTCACACCTTCGGAAACGTGTGACCTTTGGAGCCACCTGCCTTAAAAGGAGCAGAAGAAAAGGAGCGCAGGTTCTTCCCAGGCAAGCCTCAACTTTCATTCACAGGCTCAGTCTGACACGGATATTTTCACGGCACGTTAGCCGCAAATGCAGGGATCGCCGCTTGACTCCCAGCCAGCATTCGCTGTCCTTCTGTGAGCTTAAAACATCAGCTGCTGGAACACAATCTCTTTACAAAGCATGCAGTCTGAGGGTGCAGAGCGCTATGAAGCCAGTCTCCAGCGCGGCGCATGTTCACGCCCCTCCAAACCTCGGCGCGGCGCCTGTTCACGCCCCTCCTAACCTCGGCGCGGCGCCTGTTCACGCCCCTCCAAACCTCGGCGCGGCGCCTGTTCACGCCCCTCCAAACCTCGGCGCGGCGCCTGTTCACGCCCCTCAAAACCTTGGCGCGGCGCCTGTTCACGCCCCTCCAAACCTCGGCGCGGCGCCTGTTCACGCCCCTCCTAACCGCGGCACGCCGCCTGTTCACGCTCCTCCAAACCTCGGCGCGGCGCCTGTTCACGCCCCTCCAAACCTCGGCGCGGCGCCTGTTCACGCCCCTCCTAACCGCGGCGCGGTGCCTGTTCACGCCCCCTAACCGTGGCGCGGTGCCTGTTCACGCCCCTCCTAACCGTGCGGCGCCTGTTCACGCCCCTCCTAACCGCGGCGCGGCGCCTGTTCACGCCCCTCCTAACCTCGGCGCGGCGCCTGTTCACGCCCCTCCAAACCTCGGCGCGGCGCCTGTTCACGCCCCTCCTAACCGCGGTGCCTGTACACGCCCCTCCTAACCTCAGCGTGCACCTGTGTGGCTGCTGAAAAGGTCCCTGGACTCCTGACTTCTCATCCAAAGAAAAACGCTCATGGCCCATTTGGCATCGCTAGAGAGCTCTGGGCTGGAATTGCATGGCATTTAAGTAGACTTTAAGAGGCCAGTTTTTTTTAACAAAGAAAAGGGACTAGATTTCAAAACAAAATAGTGAGTTCACAGATTGATGAACACTAAGTTCATCCATCCATCCATCCATCCATCCTATATAACTTTCTGTGGGATCACAGGGATCATGATGCCCAGTCCAGGAACCATGAGGCACCCTAACCCCAAAGGCAACAAGCTCACCTCCAAGGCTCACGTTCCCTTCACGTTAGCGCTGCGTCGTACCTGCTGGCCTTTCCCTTCACGTTAGCGCTGCGTCGTACCTGCTGGCCTTTCC